ACTTTTCTGCTGAGTCTCTTCCCTCCTCTCTAACCTCCATCTTAGGAGGGCAGGGTTTTCCTGTGCCATGACTGATGAGGAGCTTTGGCTCCTCTCTTATCTCTTCACTTGTGTTTCTTCACAAGCCTAAACTCTGCTTCCATTGTGATTTAATATGTATATTTCATTTTTATAGCGTATGGCTTTAAAACTTTAAACTGTGAAAAATACTTTTCATGAGCCATGGTGGATAATTTATTAGTTTTACTTTTTTATTTTTAACTGTGTATTCGTTTGTGTCCCTGTGTGGGTATGTGCGTGAGTGCAGGTACCCTTAGAGGCCAGAAGGCATTTGTTTTGTTTTGTTTTGAGACAGGATCTCTCTACGTAGCCCTGGCTGTCCTATAATAGACCAAGCTGGCCTTGAACTCACAGAGATCCACCTACTTCTGCCTCTGAAGTGTTGGTATTAAAGGTATGCACCACCATGCATGGCCTAGAAGATATTGGATATGCTGAGACTGAATACACATATGTATCATCTGACCATATTCCTTTTTTTAATCTGATCATATTTTTAAATATGTAATTGTTTTAATATTTTTCATTTATAGATTGTTAAACTAAGATGTTCGCTAACTCCAAATTGCAGCATCTAGTCACCTCAGGGCCCTATGTATTTTGCCGAATACTGGGCAGTTAGCCTGCTAAACACACTAGCTCCACCTACTGTCATGCTGAAACAAAACATCTTGCTTGTATATCTTGGTTCAGAGTTCTCCTCTATAGGTAACCGTTGCTTACTGTTCTTTCCTCCTTTCTTTCTTTTTTCCCCATGTATATTATTAGCTGCTTTGTGGTCATTATGACTACAATACATGACAGAAGTAATGTGAAGATTTATCTTAGTTTCAGCTCGTCCTGGTAGGGTAGGTATGGAAGCCTGAGTGTGGTGGAGGCTGTTCACATTGTGGACCAAGAAGCAGAGTTCATGACACAACGAGGGGCTAGGCATAACCTTCAAGGACTTATCCTTAATGACTTGTTTCACTAGCTAGGCCCCATCTCCTACACATTCCAGAGCCTTCCAAAGTAGTATCACCAGCAGGGGGAACAAGTGGTCAAATCATGAGTGGAGGGCTTCAAATCATAAAACTATATTTTGAGGGGGAGGTTTCCAGACAGGGTTTCTCTGTGTATCAGTCCTGGTTGTCCTGGAACTTGCTCTGTAGACCAGGCTGGCCTCAAACTCACTGAGATCTGCTTGCCTCTGCCTCCCAAGTGCTGGGATTAAAGGCGTGCGCCACCACCACCACCACCACCACCACCCGGCCATAAAACCATATTTTAATATATGAGTCTTTCTTGAAAAAATGACTTTATTAAGCAATTCTGAAATTACTAGAATATTGCCAACCTGGCCTACAAATTATTATATAAAGAGACTGCTTAAACTTTTCAGATTTTTAAAAATTTTTGTGTGTGTGTATGTGTGTATGTGTGTATGTATGTAGAGGGGGTTTTTTCACCTATGTATGTGGGTGTGGAAGCCAGAGGTTAACATTAGGTGTCTTCCTCATTAATTTTCCACCTTACTGGGTTTTTAAATTTTATTTATTTTTATTTTATGTGCTTTGGCATGAATGTGTCAGATCCCCTGGAACTAGAGTTACAGACAGCTGTGAGCTGCCATGTGGGTGCTGGGAATTGAACCCAGGTCCTCTGGGAGAACAGCCAGTGCTCTCAACTGTTGAGCCATCTCTCCAGTGCCCCACTTTTCTGTTTTGAAACAGGATCTCTCACTGAAACTGGAACTCATCATTTCTGCTAGACTGGCTAGCTAGTGAGCCCCTGGAATCTGCCAGTCTCAACTCCATCCCCTAGAAGCTAGTAGGTGCATGCTACCACACTCAGCTTTTACATGGTTTATGGGGATCTGGACTCAGGTCCGCATGCTTACAGAGGAAACACTTTACTTACTGAGCCATCTCTCTAGCCCTTTTAGAAAAGATTATTTAATTCATTTAAATATATATCCAAGCAGAATTTTTTATTTAATAAATACTTAGCAACTGTTGTGCAGTGTATGATGAATGTTTTTATTTCCAGAAAATGAGCTGTTTTAAATATAATTTTCTAGAAATTAACTCCAAATCCAATAAATTCTTCGCAGAATTAATTTAGCCTTTATTTTTCTATCATTCATCTTAATACCTTAAATTACAAAACACTGCAGCCACATTAAAATATATGGGGAAGAGAAGGAAAAACATTATTTCACCTCAAACTCCTATTTTTATGTAGTTATTAGGGTACTCTCACTAGCCATAGTTGGGTTTAGACACAATTGATGAAAGAAGTTTAACTGCTAGAATCAATTTATTGCCTGTTCTTTGCTCCAAATTCAGTATTCAGTTCTATACTATCTTTAACTGGTTTTTTGTTTTGTTTTGTTTTGTTTTGTTTTTTACAACTAGCAGGAGTTAAACTTTGTCATTGGAGGGCACTAAAGATACATCACAGGAGGAAGGACTTTTCCTTCTTGGTGTTGGTGTTTTGGCCAGGCAACTTCTTGGGTGCCTATTCTTGAAGTCCAGGTGAAATTAGTACCTTATAGCTCCTACAAGTTCAGGAAGTTTCTCTAATATCCAGGTTCTGAGTTAGTCCAAAGCACATAGTAGCCAATAACTTCTCCCCACCCCCACAGGGTGGTCACCTTTTGCGGGCACCTTAGAAGACAGATTTCTGATGGGTGAGGGGTGTGTGTGTGTGTGTGTGTGTGTGTGTGTGTGTGTGTGTATGTGTGTGTGTGTGTGTGCAGGGCCTCATGTATCCCAGGCTGGTCTCAAATTCTCTATTCAGTGGAAGATGACCTTCAACTTCTGATGTTTCTCCTACTTCTGAGTGCTAGGATTATAGACATATGCTACCACACTGAGATTATGCAGTGTCTGGGATTGTGCTCAGGGCTTTGTACATGCTAGACAAACACTTTATCAATGGAGCTATATCTGCCAACCTTCTGGCAGGTTTTAGTAGGTGGATTTCAGCAAGTTTGGTAGCATGTCATACAGCAGCTTCCCTACTGTTCAGTGAACTATGGGTGTTGGTCTGCATCTCAGCCCCGATCTTCTTTTACTGCTCTACCACAGTAAGTAGGGATAGTAGGTCTACTCTCCTTGCACCTACTGTTCCTTTGTTCTGCAGAGTTCTCATTGCTTCTTACCAACTAGCTACTCTTTATTTCCTTCTTTTAATTAATAATCTGAACTTGAACTTGAGATCCTTCTACCTCTGCCTCCCAAGTATTGGGATTGTAGGTATATAATACTAGGTGACCTGGCTCCAATATGCCTTATTTTTGAGACTGAGTCTCATGTAGCCCAAGCTGGCCTTCAGTTCTCTGTATAGCTGAGGATAACCTTAAACTTGTGATCTTCATGCTCCTGAGTGCTGAAATTATAGGCATGCACTACCTGGTTGGTGTGAATTTGAGAATCAGTTCCTAGCATCTAGTGTCTCCTGCATGATAGGCAAGAACTCTGCCAACTGAGGTACATCTCACCCCCTTCAGCAATTCTTTATTGTAAATATTTCCTGCTCAAATTGCTCCATGGCTTACCAATTCTGGTTAGAACCTGATTAATAGCAGTTTTTAATTTAAAAAAAGTTTTAAGTCTGCAGTCATGTATATTATTTGTTTAGTAAACCTAAATTGGTTATAATTTATATAATTTGTTATTTAAAGAGCAATTTTATGTCCATTTTTTAAATCAACTTTTTCATTTTCTTTTGTTCCATCGCTCACATCCCACCCTTGGAACTGAGGACTGAACCTATTTTCCTTTGGAAATTTCCCGCAGTTTTTTACTTTCCTGCTTTATTTTCAGCTGTGTCATCAGTGATAATTTGGACAGCACTACTCTTGATTCTTTCCTTTCCTCTGTTGCAGCCCGTTTCTCAGAAGTAATGTCCTTATTTTGGCTCATTATATTACCTACTTGGTTCCAGAGAAAAGATGTGTTGCAAATACACTTTTTCAATTCTTGATTGTTTGAGAAAATATCTCCATTCTACATTGTCAATTAATTGATAATTTATCTTGATATTAGTAGCTATTTTGAAAATCATTCACTTGAAACATTGAAAATATGCTACTCATCTCTGACTATAATAAAATTTGTATTGATTAATCATTTCTTTCCCTGTTTACTAACAACTTTTAGGACTTGGTTTTATTCTTTTGCTATTCATGTTTGAACTTTGTTTTTATTTTTATCACATTTTATTTATTTATTTACATATGCATCCCAGAACACATGTGGAAATTGGAAAACAGTGTGAAGGAATTGATTCTTCTCCCATATATATAGACCCCAGGAATTAATTGGGGTCATCAGACTTGGTAACACACCTTTGCCCACTGAGCTTTTTTGCTGTTCCTCCTAACTTTGTTTTTGTAAAGATGAGAACAAAAGTCATATAAGATCCACTTAAATTTTAAAAATCTATTGTCTCATGTCCTGGAAACTAAGAACACTATAACAAAAATGAAATATTGCAAAAACACATAAAATGTAGACTTTCAGTTCATTACTTTTCAGTTCCACAGCAAAAATAAATATTATTTATATTATGTTATAATATCAGTGTTTATATTATCATTCACTTACAGAGAACCACACTTTGAGTATAGACTTCCATCTTCAGCTAACTTAACTGTTATATCTCTGAGGATTTTCTGGGATCCTTTCCTTGCTTGCTTTTAGAATTCAGAATTTTGTCTTAAGTGGGTATACTCTAAAACATTCTTAGTTTCATTTTTCAGGAAGTATCTTTGTTTTTTTTTGTTTATTTTGAGAAATTTTTATTGAATAAAGACTTTTTTTGTAGTATCTTAAAGATATATTATCACAGTCTTTCCAAGGAATTCCTTATTTAACTATTGCTAAAAACCAAATGAATGTGTTCTTAAGTGTTACTGGTTAATCTAAATATCTTCTTATATTTTTCTCCTGTAGGGAATACAGTGAGTAACCTGATTATGATCATACCTCCAATTTTTGGTGCAATTCAGAGCATTAGAGATGGACTGGAAAAACGGTATATTGCTGCTTATTTAGCACTCACAGGTATGTAGAATACTTCATTTGAAAACAATGGTGTGCTATAATATAATCTTCCTTACTTAAGTAAACAGTCTCAAATAAACAAAAACACCAAAAGCTGTAGCATAAGAGGGATAATATCCATAATGTCCATAAGTATAATAAGAGGTCTCATATAACATCTGTCCACAGAAGAGTCTCTCTGAAAGTCTCAGGATTCGGTAAGAAGTTGGGCAACTATAGTGGAACCTGAGACCTAAGAGGATTGTTTTGAGAATGTACACCCACACCCATTTGTGTTCCTGAGTTCAAGTGCTACACTAAAGGCTTGAGTATAGCTCTGTTTGATATGCCAAAATGTTCAAAAGGAATTGCATATACCAGAGCAGTGGCAGAGAGGTTTATCTGCCTTCTGACATTGGTCTTGACAGTGGACCTGAAATTTACCCTTTGCTTGGCTCAAAACTCTGATCTGTATCTCATTGTAGTTGGGGAACTGTCCAAACTCTGTGAGGAACTGCTGGGAGGTGCATGCATGTCTGGGCCACCAGCATAGGTTCACCCATTACTGTGTCACAACAGATCGTAAGGAGATCCAGTGTCAGCTTCAGCTCCTCTTGCTGTAGTCAGAGAACTGTCATGTCTGTGGAGAGGCATCAGTCATGCACTCTATTTGGTCTACCACAACAAGTTTCTTGAGTTCCTCTGATGCTTTCCCAACACATTCTGAGTAACCTCCCTGCATCTTCTGCAGATCTATATAGCTAGGCTCCCCCATCAACCTTGGAGCCCTTATAACATTCATAACATCCCAGTCTAAGAGCACCCCTAAGTACTGAAATGTCTACAGTGGTCACAGACTTAGGAAATACAAATCTGCCTGCTTAGAATTTCTGAACAGGTTAAATGAAGAAGGATGGCATAAAGAAAGCCATACTGGCAGAGACTGAAATAATACCTAATTCTTCAATGAGAAGACAACATTTCATGCCTAAAAGCATCAAAAACAAGCAGTGTAATATGACCTCACCAAATAGACAAAATAAGTTGTCAGTGATTGTTCCCAGAAGAAAGGAAGACTCTGTCAAAAAATTTCAAAATAGTTAGATTAAGGAAGCTTAACTCAGGGGCTAGAGAGATGGTTCAGTGGTATAGAGCACTAGTTGCTCTTGCCGAGGACCTGGTTTCAGTTCCCAGCACCCACATGGTAGCTCACAACTATCCATAGCCCCAGTTTCAGAGGATCTGACACCCTCTTCTGACCTCTGCAGACACTAGGCATGTATGTGGTGCACAGACATACATACAGGTAGAACACTCATACACATAAATATATCTTAAACAATTTTTTAAAGGAAGCTTCACTAACCTTTGTAGCTGGAGTTTTCTCTCCGGGTCCCACCAAGTCCCGGCAGTCCCTTAGCCCACTTATAAAATAAATATACAGATGCTTATATTATTTAAACTGTTTCACCATTAGTTCAGGCCTATCATTGTCTAGCTCTGACTCTTATATTCAGCCCATTTCTATTAATCTATACTTTGCCACATGGCTCATGGCTTACTGGTACCTTACATCTTCCTTGTCCTGGCGGCGGCTGCAGGCAGTCTCCCCCTTCCCTTCCTGTTCCCTCAATTCTCCTCTCTGTTAGTCCCGCCTATACTTCCTGTCTGGCTACTGGCCAATCAGTGTTTTATTTATTAACACATTTGCCATACAGAACATCCCACAGCAAACCTTAGTAAAACAATTCAGAAATCTGTTGGAAAAGTTTAAAGGAAAGATGGAAATACTAATTTAAAAATCAAACAAAAATTATGGAGCTGAAAAATATAATGAATGAAATGAAAAACTACAGTAGATAGCACCAACAGTGAACCAAGCAGGAGAAAGAATGTGAATCAGACAGGTTATTTAAATATGTATAGTCAGGAGAGAAAAAAATAAAGAGGAATGAAAAAGGTTTAAGGGATTTGTAGAATAACATCAAAACAGCATTTATATGAGTTATTTGAGTTCATGAAAGAATAGAAGGAGACAAGGAGTAAAAGATAAGAAATTATAGGGGTGGAGCTATAACTCAGTTTGTGGAATGCTTGCCTAGCATGCCCCAAGGTTTAGCTTTGATCCCAGGCACTGCATAAAGCAGATATGGTGGCTCATGTCTGTCATCTCAGCAGATAGGAGGATCAAAATTTCAGGATCACCTTTGCTACGTAGCAAGTTTGAGGCCAGCCTAGGGTGTATGAGACTGTCTAAAAAAAGAAAGAAAAAAATGTATAGCAGGACTGGGCATGTAGCTTAGAGATAGAGCACTTAACTTTCATAAGACCCTGTGATCAGTCTTTAGCAACCATTGCTAAAAATAGGATGTTGAAGTCTTCCTTCTGTTACTGCATTAGGGTCTATTGGTGTATATATATATATGGTTGTTGAATTGACCCGTTTATTATTATATAATGACCATCTTTGTTTCCTTTTACAATTTTTGCACTCAAGACTATCCAGGCAAAATGAACAAAAAACCCCAGCAGATCTAAATTGTACTATAGACCAAATAAACCTAAAAGATGTTTACAGAATATTACACCCAACAGCTACAGAATACATGTGTACCTCAACAGCACATGGAACATTCTCCAGGACAGATCATATGTTGGCTCACAAAACAAATTTGAACAATTTAAGATTGGAATGATTTTAAATATCTTTCTGATAAGAATGGTGTAAAACTACAAATAACAAGAAAAACGTTAGGAACTCTACAGATATGGAAAAACTAAGATATATGCTCCTGAAAAAAATAGTGAATTAATGAAAAAAATAAAATGGAAATACAACATATGAAAAGCTGTGAGAGATAGCAAAAGCAGTTCAAAAAAGGATGTTTGTATCAAGAAGAGTGCAAGTAACCCTAACATTACATCTCAAGAAATAAAAAACAATAGACACTAAAAGTAACAGAAGGAAGGAAATAATAAAGACCAGAGCAGAAATAAATGAAATAGAGACAAATACATATGATCGGTGAAATGAAGATGATGAATTACAACTGATACAATAATACAAAGAATCACAAGGAACTTTTGTTTGTTTTTGATTTTTGTTTTGTTTTTTTTTTGCTTTTTCGAGACAGGGTTTCTTTGTCTTGCTTTGCGCCTTTCCTGGAACTCACTCTGTAGACCAGGCTGGCCTCAAACTCACAGAGATCCGCCTGCCTCTGCCTCCCGAGTGCTGGGATTAAAGGCGTGCGCCACCACCGCCCGGCTTGTTTTTGTTTTTTAAGACAGGGTTTCTCTGTGTGACTCTGGCTGTCCTGGAACACCATCTGTAGACCAGGCTGGCCTCGAACTCCGAGATCCTCCTGCCTCTACCTCCTAAGTGCTGGGGTTAAGGCATGCACCACTACTGCCAGGCCATAAGGAACAATTGTGAATAGTTATATGCCAACAAATGAGATAAAATAGAAATACACAAATTCCTGGACACACATAGCTTACCAAACATTGATAAAATGGCATCTCCAGTCATTGGGGCAAAGGAGATAAAATATTTTCATAATTGATGCTAGAGAAAATAATTGAATATTACCTTATATCGTACACAAAAATAATTTCTAAATTAATCAGAAATATAAATATAAAAACCAAAATATTATGAATGCTGAAAGAAAATGTGTGAATTTATGTCCAGCATTTTGGAAAGATTTTCTGTGATTGAAATCTAGATGTAAGGAAGGATGAATAAATTGAACTATACACCTGGCCAGGTGTAGTGGGGCACACATGTAATCTCAGCCACTTGGGAGGCTTGCCTGGATACATAGTGAGTGTGAGGTCAATCTTTAAAACTTAGACTCTGTCTCAATCTACAATTTCTTTTGGCTTGGGATGCTCCATAGTAGAACATTTGCCTACCAGGAACATAGCCCTAGCATTAATGCCTAGTACTACCAAAAGGGGGAGGGTGCTTTTTCTTTTTCTCCTTTCAATTAGCATGAAATGGAATGTATGGACTGTTGATACAATATTTATTATAAAAGTCCTACCTAGCTACAAAATTATTTTAGCCTTGCCTACAAAGCCCATTTTGGGGCCAGAAAATTGAAAATGTCTTTTATGCCTTTTCTGTACTGTAATTGTTTCCTAGATACATAAGTTGTATATAAAATACTTTATAAAGGAGCCTGAGTTAGAATCCCTTTGTTATTACTTAATAGCTGTATGCCATGTGTAAACCTTTATTGTTAGTGAATTACATGAAGGCCAGATGGTAACCAATAATGGTTCTGTAAAGATGAAAGGACCTAGAGCATATATAGTGGTCACCACACTTGGCAGCATAAAACTTCAATTCATAGAACTATTTATTGTGGCAAAGAGACTGCCCCACACTGCCACCAGTGTCTGAGATGCTCTCTTGGATTCTTAACTATATACCACAGAAAGAATTACAGAATGAGTCAGAAAGAAGCAAAGTTAGTTTATTAAATATTTACACATAGAGACTGCAGTACACTTTCTCAAGAAAGTTCTCAGAAGAATTGCATTTAGGTGTCTTTCCAGTAGTTTTGTATATATGGTATCGTGGCTCTCTAAATTACACTACTAGGTTTTATGGATCAGAGGAGTACAAGAGAGTGCTAAAGGAAGCTGACCAACTATGCACAGTAAAGCTTATCCTGAGCATCCAGTACTTTATAGAAATAATAGAGTATTGTTAATCTAGTAAATTACTTAGTGGGGAGAATTTTAGAAAAATTATACTGTGCTTGTTTTTCTTCTATGCCAAAATCCTCAATCATAGCACTAACTCAGTATTATCTGTATATTGTCGCAAGACATAAACTTTGTTTTCCTCCAAACTTAATACTTTGAAATGTGTTATTGTCTTCTGAAATCATTCTGGTCCCAAAGAATTTCTTGCTAATTCTTTTATTTGTCTGTCTTAATTTCAGTGGTAGGGATGGGATCCTGGTGTTTCCACATGACTCTGAAATATGAAATGCAGGTGAGTAATGGCAAAAGTAAGTGATTATTTCTCTCAATTTAGAGACACTTCCAATTTGAGAAAAGAATGCATAACTAAAGGATAATAAAAGAGGGGACTTGTCATCATTGAAGTTTTTCACTTCAAGTCAAAGGACTCAAATTGACCATATAAGGAAGTAGTATGGCTTTCTATGTATGTATGCCAACTCTGTGCAGACATATATAATTTTAGAACATCATTAAAGAAGACTATTACATGGAGGTGTCCTAAAAAGTCGTAAGCAGTTCACAAAAACATTATATTCTTACGTGCCTACAGTTTTTCATGTATCAGTGGCATCCATTTGAGTGGGATAGATCCTGCTTAGTTTCTATCTTTGCTGCGAAGACGTTATATATCTAGTCATTTGAACTTTTTATCATCACTAACAAGACAGGGTTTCTCTTTGTAGCCCTGGCTATCCTGAAATTCAAAACTGATTATTTTATATGCCAACTACAGAGCCAGGTTTGGTTCCCATCATTCACATGGCAGCTCACAGCCATCTGTAACTCCAGTTCTAGGGATCCAACAACCCTTTCTAAACACACACATGGTTGTATATAAGCACATGAAGGCAAGACACACAAATAAAATAAATCTTTTTTAAAAACTAAACAAAAAATTAATAAGCAATAAGATGAAGACTAGTGAGATAGTACAACAAGGAAAGGTACTTGCTGAGTCCAACTACCTGAGTTTGATCCCCATGATCACATGGTGGAAGGAGAGAACCAACTTCCAAAGATTGTCCTCTAAGTGCACATACGTGCGGGTACATGCATACCCAACAGTACCCCTCTCTCTGCTAAATAAATAAATAAATAAATAAAATAAACAAATAAATAAAATAAATGGGGCCTGGTACGATATTTTAATCAGTAAAGTATTTGCCATGCAAGTGTGAGAACCTGAGTTTGATCCCCAGAATCCACATAAAAGTGCCAAGAGTGGTAGCATATGCTTGTCATCCTAGGCAGAGACGGGCAGATTCTTTATGGCTAGCCAGTTTACCCTAATTGACAAGCTCCAGGTCAGTGAGAAACTGATTTCAAAAAACAAGATGGGGAGTGCCTGAGGAAAAACAACTAACTGTTGACTACTTGCCTCCACGAGTGTGCGCACACACACACACACACACACACACACACACACACACACACACACACACAAGCAAATGAATGCGTATTTATATTTTTGTAAATGTAGTCCTTTTAAATAAGCCACAAACATCTGGAGTCCATACCTTTATCCTGAACTACACATCTGTACTTCTCATTACCTGATAGACATTTCTACATATCTGTGTCAGGTACTTGAAACTCAGAATGCTGAAAATTGTTCTTGTCATTTTCTCTGTTTTCATCATTTCATTAAACTGTACTACTATCTCCTGAATTGTTAAGCAAGAAACTTGATAAATCCTTTATAGTTTCTTTCTCCTCACTTTTCTATAAAATTAATAACAAATCTCTATTTATTTTACTTCCTAAATACTTCCCAAATGTGCACATTTACAAACATTTCCGATTTCCTTGGCCTGGACTCTGATTACAAGGCTGCTCTCTGGGAAGAGTCAGTCAGATGTGCCACTTAGATGTCTGTCTTAGAAGGGATGGATAGATAACTTTGATGGGTCAAAAAACAACCAATTGTACAAGTAAGTTAGATGGTGATGAATATATTAAATAATTAGTAAAAGAAATTAAATGAAAATTAATATTTTGGGGGAGAGAAGCTAGGAATTGAACTCAGGTCCTGTGCATCCTAAGCAATGCATTCTACCACTGAGGCACATCCCTAGCTTAAGAGATGACAATCATAACCATTCTGAAGTTTATTTTGACATCCATAGTTATAGCTGTACAGTATTCACATCTTTGTCTCTCTACTTCATGTAGCTATTGGATGAGCTCCCCATGATTTACAGCTGCTGCATATTTGTGTACTGCATGTGAGTACTTACATTTAAAATTCAATTCAATGTGGTTTTTGGTACAATTACATTATGAAGATATGTAATGTAAAAGATAGAAATTGAGACATTAGTGAAGAGTTTAGTTTTGGGGAAGCTGCAGTAATCTCAAAACCCTAATGCCAGTTTAGGTAGTATCTTAATTTGACTTAAATACATATTTTGCCTTTTCTTGAGTGAAGAATGTGTCCAAATTGTGCCATAAAAGTTTTGGAATAGTTTCTCTATACTGTAATATGAATGGTTTTTTTTTTAATTACTGCTTTTTAAAAATATTATTTATTTTTATTTTATGTATGTAAGCATTTTGCCTGCATGTATATCTGTGTACCATGTGCATGCCTCGTATGAGAAGTTCAGAAGAGGATATTGGATCCTCTGGAAATGGAGTTATAGAGGGTTGTGAGCTACCATGTATGTGCTAGGAACTGAATCCAGGTTTTCTGCAAGAGTAGCAAGTACTCTTTTAACTGCTGAGCCAGCACCAGTTCCTTTTGTCATTGTTGTGTGTGTGTGTGTGTGTGTGTGTGTGTGTGTGTGTGTGTGTGTCCCACAGTGTACATGTTGGGGCCAGAGGACAACTTTCAGAAGTGGGTTCTCTCCTTCCACTCTGGTATACTGAGATTGAACTTAAGTCTTCAGGCTTAAACTGTAATTGCTTTTACCTGCTAAACCATCTCATTGTACCATGAACTGTCTCTTAACAAAAGCTTACCTGAAAAGTGAAGTACACTCATAGTTATTAGTTGTTTGAGAATTTCATACAATGTATTTTGATCATCTTTCCCCCTCCCTGAACTCTTTCCAGATCTAGTCCTATCTCCCTAACTACCCAATTTCATGTTTTATTTATTATTATTATTATTTTATTATTTTACCTATCAAGTCCAGTTTGTGTTGTTCACCACTCTTGGGTGTGGGGCTTTCTCTTGAGTATAATTGAAGTATCAGTGGTCACATCATTAAAGAAACCAGACTGTCTCTTTCCCAGCAGCTATCAAATGCCAGTAGCTGCTCAGCTATGGATGGGGCTTTGTGCTTACCTCTGCACTGTTTCCAAATTTCAACTAATGAGGACAGTAGGTACTGAGCTGGTTTCATACACAAGAAAGTAAAGCACAGAGAAATTTAGCAGCTTGCTCAAGGCAGTGAGCAGAGCTTCATTAATAAGCATGCCAGGCATACATTATGCAGGTTAATAATCTCTGAGGGACACTAAAATATCCCTAGAAATAGCTCATGCCAGAAAACTAGAAGGGGCAGAATCTCTCTGACCCTGATTGGTTTTTTGTTTTGTTTTGAATTGGTTTTAGGATGTTCTTTGACCATATTAAGTATGCAAAGCAGTCTAGACCTCCAACTGTTTCTAAACCTGCTTGCCTTTGTATGCTTTCATCTGTGAAGCATGTACTGGACAAGTTTTGTGATAGACTTGGAAGTAGAAAGCAAAAGAGTCAAGGTACTAACCCTCTATGGACAGGGCCAGATTAAGAAAGTAGTGATAGCCTTTCCAGTGGTGTCAACCTCCCTATAAGAACATGCCTCTTGTAAAGGAACTCCTTCATCCGTCTCCAGAAGAGGAAAAGAAGAAATACATGACAAACTGCCTAGTGCAGAGCCCCCATTCTTACATCACAGATGTGAAATGCCTAGGATACTATAAAATGACTATGATCTTTAGTTATGCACAATCTGTGTGTTTGCTACTCCACTGTCCTCTGTCAGCCTACAGGGGGAAAAACAAAGCCTACAGAGGTATGGATACTCCTTTTGGAGGAAGTAGATCGGAAAGCACCCTGATTCAAAATGAGTGGGAATAATCCAATAAATTTTGGACAAATAAGAAAAAAGTAGATGTATAAAATAAAATAAAGTTGTTGTGGTAACATTTGTGCATATGGGTGATTTGCCTGTGTGTATGAATATGCATCATGTGCATTCCTGGAGAGAACAGAGAAGGCATTGTATCCCCTGGAACTGAAATTGTAGACAGTTGTGAGCTTAACAATATCCTTTGAGAACACTTGAAATAAGTTTCTCAACTGTAGACAAAGCAAAAAGAAAACTGTAATTCATAAATGCACTACCTAACACTTCTTTCCAATTATAAAGTCATATAATTTAAAAGTAAGATCCTGCCTCACATTTGTATCATCTTCAGAGTCATAAAACCTAGAATTTAAAGGTGAAAGAGAGCTTAGAAACCTTCCATTCCAGTCTCCTTTCTTTACAGAGAAGGAGGTAAGCGTGCAGTTCAGTTTCTATGAGCAGTTAGTAATTGAGAATGCACTGCTGTCTATTCTAAAACCTAGTCCTCAAAGGTTGGGTGTTTACTGATGGCCAACTGTCCCCCATACTATCTCCTGTGCATCAGGCACTAACCTAGTAATTATCTGAAAAAATAGTAAGTGTAGATGTAACCAACCGTCTTATTAAATAAGAAACACAGAGCCAATACAGAGATGAAAGCCAAGAGGTCAGAGCAATAGCTAAGAGCTAAAAACCTTACCCTTCACTGTCGCTGTTGTCCTACCTCTCCGAATGAGACCTACTTCCTGTGTGTCTGTCTTTTTATAGTGTTTCTGTTCTGCCTTCTCATTGGTTGTAAACCCAACCACATGACCTCCTAGTCACTGCCTGTCTGTACAGACCTCCAGGTCTTCTATGGTTGGTATTGAGATTAAAGGCATGTGTCTCCATGCTGGCTGTATCCTTGAACACACAGAGATCCGCTTAGCTCTGCCTCCCAAGAGCTGGGATTAAAGGCGTGCCCCACCACCGCCCAGCTTCTGCTAAGGCTTGCTATTAGCTCTGACCCCCAGGCAACTTTATTTATTAATATACAAATAAAATCACATTTCAGTACAAATAAAATATCACCATGAGTAAGATTATATCATTGTACACAAAGAATTCACACTCCAGTTGGGGAGACACATTAGGAAAATAATTATAATAGAATGCCTTTTTCTCCTCCTCCTGCTTCAACAGACTCTCACTCTGCAGCTCAGGGCTGTCCTTCAATCCCAGCGTCCTGAATACTGGATAAAAAGCATGATACCATGCCTAGCAGTACAGTGATCTCAGTAGTTTCATTCAGAGAGAGATCATTAGTTGTAAGATACACAAATACACAAAGCTGCTAGAGTTAAAGAAACTTCCTTTTTGTGAGGACATGAGGAAACCGGGAAACCAAATAGAAAGGAGTGCAACCTTGCCTCACTAGAACTGCAAAGGAATGTCTTTGTGCCTCTGTCTTTCTTCAGTCCTTCCTCCACATGGCTTCAAGTCTTTCTATCTACTTTATTTTTCTTTTCATTCAGGTTATTTCTCTGCTTGTTCGTTTACTTGTTTATTCACTTTGGCTGCCTCCAGATATCAGCCTTAGACTATCTGATACCATATTTTGACTCCCTTTACTTAATTGATTTAGTTATCTCCCCAACTTCATACTTGGAGAGAGAACTTCATTGTCTCAGCTCAAGTTATGTGGCTACTGCTGATCCTCTTGTAATCAGTGTGCAGTTCAGTGTTTCTAACACGAAGAGTGAGAGGTAGAAATAGTGAGGTGTGCTGGATCACAAAGGCATGTGGGCAAGTTGTAAGTGCATTCAGTTTGTTCCTGTTATACATTATAAAGTAAATTTCTTTCTCTCTTATTTTAAAGGTTTGAATGTTTCAAGACAAAGAGCTCAATAAACTACCATCTGCTTTTTACCCTAGCTCTATTCAGTTTAATAGTAACCACGGTAAGTCATACTTTATCTCCAGCAAGGTATGCCTTATAGGAGATTGGAACAGTTATTTTCCAGTGTTTGTGTCAAGCTATTCAAACTGAAAATTTTTTATGCAATTGGAATATCTTATTTTTAGACTTTGCACCTTTATTTCCTTTTCAAAAACTACTTTTAATTGAAAAAAACTTTTAAAAAGTTAGTTTTTAGATTTATTCTACTTTTTTTGTGTGTGTTTGAGTGTTTTGTCTATATGTATGTGTACCATCTATGTGACTGATACCTGGAGAGGTCAGAAGATATTAGATCCCTTGGAGTTTCAGATGGTTGTAAGCCATCATGTAGGTGCTGGGAACTGAATCTGGGTCCTCTGCAAGAAGAGCAAGTGCTCTTAAACAATGAGCTATCTCTTCAGTCCCCAAAATAACTCTTTAATGTGTTTTTTTAAGATGAAGAAAAGGTCAAAAAGTAAATATTTAGTTAGTAGCAACAGGAAAAATTGCTTTTCTCATGGATGAACTTACTACCTTTTATTTGTTAAAAACAAGAAGTGAGGCTTTCCATGTTGGCCCGACTGTGAGGGTTTTCATTGTTAACCTTGAATTAAGAAAATATTAATTGGAAACCTGTGTCAGGTACTAGAAATACAAAAGTGACTAAGAAGTAGTTGGTATCCATGAGGGAACTCATTTTTCTAGGGAAGTTAAATGGGAACAAAGACTTGTAGCAGAAGATAATGACTACAAGAATAAAGGTAAAAACCTGTAATATAGTGATGTGAGAAAAAGAGGATTAATTAAGACCATGTGAGTGCATTTAGCACATCATGTATATGTGTAATTTTTGTCTTTATGAACCATTTTTAAAAACTAAATAATTTTGGGACTGGAGGGATGGCTCAGTAGTTAAAGTACATACCTGTCTTAGAAAAGACTCCAATTTGGTTCCCATATCAGGTGACTTACAAACCCCTGTTACTCTAACTTTAGAGGGATCTGTTGCCTTCAAGCACTTGCACTCATGTACAGGCATGTTCATGTGTGTGCACATGCACACAAATAATTGAAACATAATAAAAATAAATTGCTTTAAAATTTAATTTACTCTTTTTTTTTTTTTTTGGTTTTTTTTTCGAGACAGGGTTTCTCTGTGTAGTTTTGGTGCCTGCCCTGGATCTCACTCTGTAGACCGGGCTGGCCTCAAACTCACAGAGATCTGCCTGGCTCTGCCTCCCAAATGCTGGGATTAAAGACATGCGCCACCACCACCACCAGGCTTAATTTACTCTTGAAGCCAAGATGATGGTATGTGCTTGTTATCCCAACACCTGGAGGCTAAAACAAGAGGATAAGAAGTTTGAGACCATCCTGAGCTACATAGTATATTCTAGGCCAGGTTCAGCTGTATGACTTTGTCTCAGCATGCCCCTACTTCCTTCCTAATTTTAATTAAAAAAAAAATACTGCTTAATGAGGATCACACATGGGCTTGAGGCCAGCCTGGGCTACATAATGTTTTGGTCTAAGCCTAGAACTTAGAAAACAAAAACAAAGATTACTGCTTGAACCAGGCATGATGGCTTGAGGCTGTCCTGGGCTACATCAAAACACTGTCTGAGGAAGCAAAAGCAGAACAAAAAAAATACTATGTGAGTAGGTCAGGGCAAGCTTCAGAGAAGATTCTCTTGGGTTAGATTTTAACTGATGAACAGGAGTTTTTCAGGCCTCTGGGCAACAGTGTAGTAAAGCATTTTTAGTCTTTTGTATTCCCATACACACGGACTAGCATAGTGAATTGTTGTTTTTTAGAAACTACTTACTATGTGCCAGATGTTTACTGAATAGTTTGTCTTGATTGTTCAATTAAGTTATCATGGGTACAAAATTGAGAGAGATTTTATATAGGTGATTGCTTATGGTAGGAGAAAGTAGTAAATGAGTCTAGTGAGTTAAACAAAATATCAGGTGATAAAGTCCTATGTGTGCTATGTTTAAGAGTTTAAATTTCATGAGGGAGTGGGGGTAATGAAGGGCGAGGGGCGAGGGAAAGAGAGCTTGGGGGAGCGGGAGATCCCAGCTGGATCAACAACAGAGAGGGAGAACAAGGAATAGGAGACCATGGTAAATGAAGACCACATGAGAATAGGAAGAAGCAAAGTGCTAGAGAGGCCCACAGAAATCCACAAAGATATCCACACAACAGACTGCTGGCAATGGTCGAGAGACAGCCCGAACTGACCTACTCTGGTGATGGGATGGCCAAACACCCTAATTGTTGTGCTAGAAACCCCATCCAACGACTGAGGGATCTGGATGCAGAGATCCATGGCTAGGCCCCGGGTGGAGCTCTGGGAGTCCAATTAGCGAGAATGAGGAGGGTTTATATGAGTGAGAATTGTTGAGACCAAGGTTGGATAAAGCACAGGGACAAATAGCCAAACGAATGGAAACACATGAACTATGAACCAATGGCTGAGGGGTCACCAACTGGATCAGGCCCTCTGAATGGGTGAGACAGTTGATTGGCTTGATCTGTTTGGGAGGCATCCAGGCAGTGGGACCGGGTCCTGTGCTCAGTGCATGAGTTGGCTGTTTGAAACCTGGGGCCTATGCAGGGTCGCTTGGCTTGGCCTGGGAGGAGGGGACTGGACCTGCCTAGACTGAGTCTACCAGGTTGATCTCAGTCCTTGGGGGAGGCTTTGCCCTGGAGGAGGTGGGAATGGGGGGGGTGGGCTGAGGGGAATGTGAGGGGGGGCGGGAGGGGGGAGAACAAGGGAATCCATGGCTGATATATAGAACTGAATTGTATTGCAAAATAAAAAAAAAGAATAAAAAAAATCAACAACAACAAAAAAAGAGTTTAAATTTGTTCTTAGTATTGATCCATAAACTAGAAAAAAATATAATCAGACAAGTTTTAGAAAAATTACCTGTTACAGAAGATAGAGTCTGAAGATTAAATACAGGGATTTTTCATACTTTGTAAAATAGGGACCAAGATTGAAGTAGTGTAGCTGTGGGTATGAAAAGCAGCAGACATATACAACCTGTGGGACATATGACCCACTGATTAGAGAGGGTAGAAGAAGAACAAAGACAGAATGGTACGGAATGGCTTTTCTTCTTAGGGCCTGGTTGTTAGCCTATTAACCATGTAAGTGGTGGTGCATGCCTGTAGTCCCAGCACTTCACAGGCCAAGGCATGACATCTCAGTTTGAGGGTAGCACATACTACACAGCAAGACCTTCTATTAAAATTAAAACATGGAGCCAGCATGTTGGGACACGCCTGTAATCCCAGCACTCAGGAGGCAAAGGCCAAAGGATCATGAGTTAAAGGCCATTTTTTCTACATAGCAAATTCAGGGCCAGACTACATGAGTCTTAAAATATAAAAATTAAATTGCTGGGTAGTGGTGGTACAAACCTTTAATCCCAGCACTCAGGAGACAGAGACAGGCAAATCTCTGAGTTTGAAGCCAGCCTGGTCTACAGAGTGAGTTCCAGGATGGCCAGGGCTACACAGAGAAACCCTGTCTCGAAAAACAAAACAAAATTAAGTTAAAATTAAAAATAAAAATACATATAAAATAATAAGACTGTGGTTATAGTTCAGTTGGTAAAGTGCTTGCCTGGTGTACAGAAAGCCCTAGATTACATCCTCAGCACTGAATAAAACCAAATGTGTTGGTATATGTCTGCATTCCCAAAACCTAAGTTAGGAAGGTTGAGGCAGGAGGATCAGAAGTTTGAGGTCATCTTTAACATTATAATCAGTTTAAGACCAGCCTGGGCTATGTCTTTAAAAATAATAATAATAAACTGGACCAGCAAAATGGTTCAGTGGATAAAGGTCCCGTTGCTAAGCCTAACAACCTAAGTTTGATAATTGGAACCTAAATGGTAGAAAAAGAGCTGACTCCTACAAAGTGTCCTCTGATTTACACCTGCATGCCATGGCATGAGTGCATGTACACACACACACACACACACACACACACACACACACACACACACACTCTTATGTAATAAAAAGGAAACTTTTTAATTGAAATTAAATAATTGAACTCTGAGCATCTTTTTCAGGAAAGATAATTAGTAAGCTTATGCTGTGATGTAGGAATAAATAAATTTGGTTTATGATAAGTTGAGTTTGGAAGTATCCAGTATTAATGATACTGGAGGCTTAACAGGTAGGCTGGACTAAAGATATAATTTTGGGAAGTTGGTTGAAGTGTAGGTTGTATCAGAAATATGGAGATAGGTGAACTGGTGCCAAAGTAAAACATACCATTAAGACTAAAAAGATACAACCTATGGAATGCAGACCTTTGAGGACCATGTAAAACTATAACCAGCAAAGGAGATTAAAACAGTAATCAGAGATACAGGAAAGACAAGAAAGCCTCATGTCACAGAGTACAAAAATTTTAGAAGTGAAAAGTGAACAGGAACGGCAAGATGGCTTAGCAGGTAAAGGTGCTTGCCTTCAAACCTAACAATTTGAGTTCAACTCCCAGAACCCACATGATAGAAGGAAAGAATTTACCCTTGTTAGTTGTCTTCTGACCTTCACTCTCATGCTATCACATGCATACAATGAATAAATAAATACAAGTCAAAAAACAACTATTAGTTGTCTCTGAATAGTTAAGAAAAATTAAGATTAACAGCCTGCTGAAGGAAGATGTCACCTGGTTAAGATGATGAATAGGATATTCACTATTTTCCTGAGTTCCTGTACTCCTTTGCCTAAACTCTGTATGAGTTCATAATGAAAGAATCCTGCAACTTCAGAAGTAAAAAGAAGTCATGCTATTATTTTAACGGAGGGAATAAAATCAAGAGTGTCAGTGACTTGCCTGGCCAACTAAGGTTATCTAGAAAGTTGGCATCAAAATCAAGGCTAGACCCATTTGTAAGTTAAGAGATGTTATAATTAGAAACAAATCAAGCTTTTGAATTAGTTGGATGTGAGTTTGGATCTAATATTTTTACATAGTTCTCTCTTAGCTTTAGTTTTTCTTACCATAAAATGAATATAAAATAGAACTTTTTTTTTTCAAGACAGGGTTTCTCTGTGTAGTTTTGGTGCCTGTCCTGAATTTCCCTCTGTAGACCAGGATGGCCTTGAATTCACAGAGATCCGCCTAGTTCTGCCTCCTGAGTGCTGGGATTAAAGGTGTGCACCACCACCGCCCGGCAAAATAGAACATTTTTATACTAACTATAATATTAATAATAAGGACTCCATAATTATTGGCCTAGGAAACAGTATTGAAGAGACATACTGTTAAGCCTGTGCTGTTGGTACACACCTATAATCCCTGCACTCAGGACATAGAGGCAGGAGGATTGTGAGTTCAAAGCCAGCCTAAGCTAATAGTGAGTTCCAGTTAGTATTTTGAAATAAAGACACAGATAAGACACATTCTCTGAAGGACGGTGGTGGCGCATGCCTTTAATCCCAGCACTCAGGAGGCAGAGCCAGACGGATCTGTGTGAGTTCGAGGCCAGCCTGGGCTACAGACCGAGATCCAGGACAGGCACCAAAAACTACACAGAGAAACCCTGTCTCAAAAAAACAAAAAACAGTAACAACAACAAATAAAGACACATTCTCCTTATTAAACTTAGAGTTACAGGTAATTTTTCAGTCAAAGCCCTTTGACTACTTAAAGGAAATAATTGTGGTCTTTTTATAGTAAGAAACTTATTTCAGAAATAAATTTTAAGTAAGTTTTAAAACTATGTGAAGTTTTATTAGATTACTATATTAAATGAAGACATAAAGATGTCTAAACCCAGTTCTAGATAGCAAAGAGATGATTAGGTTATAGGGGAACACAACAAACCAGTAGAATGCCATAAAGTAGCAGTTCTCAACCTGTGGGTTGTGACTCCCACAGGGGTCACTTATCTGATAAACTGCATATTAGATATTTACATTACAATTCATAACAGTAGCAAAATTACAGTTATGAAGTAGCAACTAAAGAATTTTATGGTTGGAGGTCACCACAACATGAGGAGCTGTATTAGAGGGTCACAGCATTAGAAAGGTCACTGCCATACAGCTTATAGGTAGATGGTGAATAGTTGCTTCTCTTGGAAATGAAAGAGATCATAAAAGACTTCAAGGATGAATAATTTGTGTTGAATTTTCAAAAGTATTTGTGAGTTGAGGAGGATTTCTTTTTTTTAAGATTTATTTATTTATTTATTATGTATACAGTGTTCTGTCTGCAGATATCCCTGCAGGCCAGAAGAGGGCACCAGATCTCATTACAGATGGTTGTGAGCCACCATGTGGTTGCTGGGAATTGAACTCAGGACCTTTAGAAGAACAAGCAGTGCTCTTAACCTCTGAGCCATCTCTCCAGCCCCTGAGGAGGATTTCTGAGCAAAGTAAAGAATAACGTATTTTCAGATGCAGAAGCATGAAAGTGATGCATTCAAAGTACAGTGCTCTTTGGAGATTAGATTGAGAAGACAGCAGTGAGGCCAGGCAGGAAGACAGGAGCTGTGGGAGGCTTTGAATGTCAAGTTAAGAAACCTGAACTTCCTTGTGGTAGTGTAAGAGTCATTGAAGGGTTGATTTGAATTTTGATTCCTGTGTACTGTGTCATTAAAAGTTGTGCTCCTATAGACAATATGTGCATATTAAATCTTACAAAGGCATTGAACTTAACAGCCACAAGACACTGGAGCCTAAAACTTGGGTTTGTGTAACTGGAGGTGTATCTAGGTAGTGAATAGTTTGGAAGCAGAAATGGATACAAATAATTTGTTTAAATGGTTTCACTTACTGATAATCTAGTATGTCTAGATCCTTTCATGTACTTTAGCTTAGAATTCTCCATGCTGCTGTTCTCCATTCTTCAGATAAGGATCGATTCTTTTAAGTTAAATGACACTTGGTGAAAGCCTGTAGCAATTAAGTGGAAGAGCTAGAAATTTGGTTCTAAGTATAGTATTCTTTCTACTGTTATAGGGGCTGTCAGCAGAATTTATTGACCCTTCTTGAATAACCTTGTATTCTTGACATCCTTGATGGTGACACAAAGACCAATGCTGAAATAGTCTACCACTGATTGAAATATTTAATTATTTCATTTGCCATGGCTGGGCTAGCATGGGAAAAAGTTACCTGTAGGTGCTAGCCCTCCTGTGCCATACCACCTTATCTGATTGGTTTTATGTGACTGGAATCTGGTTGGAATAACATGGGGGAAAGAAAGGTTTGGGATTTGAAGAATAATTGGAATAGGTTTTTATATCCCTTCTTTCACTTATGTTTCTAATAATATTTTTCAGATTTACCTAAAAGTAAAAGAGCCTATATTCCATCAGGTAACTTTTTTTTAAGATTTATTTATTTTATGTTATTTATATGAGTGTTTTGCTTGTATGTATGTCTGTGTACTATGTGCATGCTTGGAGCCTGTGAAGGTCAGAAGAGAATGTCAGATCCCCTGGAACTGAAGTTATCGATGGTTTGGGGCTGCCATGTGGGTTCTTGGAATCAAACCTGGGTCCTCTGCAAGAGCAAGAAGTGCCCTTAACTGCTGAGCCATCTCTCCAGCCTGATAAATTTTTTTAGTTATGAAACATTTAATTGTTTAACAATACATGCCTGTTGTCTGTGTTTCCCTTCTGTAGGAAATTATATGCTGATACAACTTTTGAAAATAAAATGGTAAAATGTCAAGAATCTACTATTAGCCTAGAACTTTAGTTCTCAACCTTCCTAATGCTGCAACCCTTTAATACAGTTCTTCCTGCTGTGGTGACCACCAACCATACAATTCTTTCATTACTACTTCATAACTGTAATTTTAGTGCTGTTATCAATTGTAATGTAAATATCTGATAAGCAGGATATCTGATATGCCACCCCTGTGACAAGGTTGTTCAACTCCCAAAGGGATCATAACCCACAGGTTGAGAACCACTGGCCTAGAATGGTGACACATTCTAATACTTAAGAGATCTTAGCAGGAGGACTTCAAGGTCATCCTCAGCTACAAGTGAATTCAGGGCTAGAGTGGGCTTTATGACTGTGCTGGATACAGCCCTGGCTGGTCTGGACCTCTGTGTAGGCCAAGCTGACCTTCAACTCATAGAGATCCATCTACCTCTGCTGCTTGCCTGAGTGCTGTGATCACTTTGAATTCAAAGATCACTTTGAAACATAGCTGTAGACAGGAGCTAGGCATTGTAATAGGAATATACCTGGGACAGGCAGTGCACAGCTCTAGCTGGGTGTTGGTATTTAGTAATACAGGTACAGTATCATTCTTAGAAGCTCAAGGGACCCTGGAGTTCAACACATAAAATCTTTTTATGAAGCCTAATGTAGTACCACACACTTGTAATGTCAGTACTTGGGAGATGGAGGAAGGAGGATCAGGAGTTGAAGGCCAGCCTCACCTCCATAGTGAGTTTGAGGCCAAGTTAGGCTATGTTAGATCCTCTGTCCGAAAAAGTTTTTATAATATTATGATCTAGAAAAGACTAAACTGCAAATTCCTCAAATATTTTATCCTTAATATGTTTCATGGATTTTTTGAGGTGGATGTTATTGATGGAGTACTGTGCCTGATACCATACAAACTTCAAACTTTGATTCTCAGTTGACAGCCCTGCAAATTAGGGATTAGTATAAATATCTTTTTTTTGTTAATTTTTCTATTTATTTTACTTACCAACCACAGTTTCCCCTCCCTCCCCTCTTTCTGTTCCCTCCCCCCACCTCCCGGCTATCTCCCCTCCCCGCCCCCATCCACTCCTCCTTTCAGAAAGGGGCAGGCTTCCCATGGGAGTCAACAAAGCATGTCATATCACTTTGAGGAAGGACCAACCTCCTCCCCCTGCATCAAGGCTGAGTGAGGTGTCCCTGCATGGAGAATAGGTTCCAAAAAGCCAGCTCATGCACCAGGTACAGGTTCTGATCCTACTGCTAGGGACCCCACAAACAACCCAAGTTCCACAACTGTCATCCATATGTGGAGAGCCTAGGTTGGTCCCATGCAGGTTCCCTAGCATATTGGTCCAGAGTTCATGAGCTTAGTATGAATATCTTAAGGGAAACGAGCTCAGATATGAAATTAGTTGCCTCTAGACAGCAAATACAGTGTTTAAGAGGCAGAGCTAGGATCATAACCTAGATTTATATGACTTATGGTTTGAATGAGAATATTCCCCACAGGCTCAGATGTTTGAATACTTGGTCCCCAGATGAGGGTGCTGTTTGGGAGGTTTAGGTAGTATTCTCTTGTTGGATGAAGTATGTTATTGCTGATGGGCTTTCAGAGTTTAAAGACTTGGTTGCCATTTTGAATTCTGCTTGTGGTTAGAGATGTGAGCCCTCAGCTTGTAGTCCAGCCACCATTCTTAAAGCCTGCTGCCTCCACTCTGCGTCATGGACTCTAACTCTCTGGAACCAGAAGCCCAAATAAATCCTTTCTTCTATGAGTTTTCTTGGTCATAATGTTTCCTACAGCAATAGAAAAGTAACTAATACATGACTCCTGCTACCATTCTTTTAACAAACTAGTTAAGATACATATGTACACACATGCATACATATATGCATACAAACATACATACATGCAGACATCTTAGGAATGTCAGACTCCATATACTTTTAAATTCTTATATAGAAAATAAATATTCCTTTAGCTTTTAAAATGTAATTCAGTAATCATCTAACTGGAATCTGTTTATTGAAATAAAATCTGTAACTTCTTTATGGGGCCTTGCTTTTTTCTTCAGGCCATTTGGAAGCGTATACACTCATTGACACTACAGTAAAGGGCATCATCACTTTCTTATTTATTGTAATTTGCAGTGATATCATTATATAATTGCCATTTTATTTAAAAAGATTTATAATTTTATGACCATCAGTTTTCCATTTTGTGTTTTTAAGGCTTATTCAAATCTGTTCTATATAATAAAATTAACAAACTATCAATGTAACCTACCCATACTGCAACAGCTATGTGTTTTCCAGTAAGAGATATTGTCTTCTCTACATATAGCAATAATCCATGTCCATTGTGATGTATACCCTAGGCCCAGAGATTAAAAATCAGGATAGCTAGCTCAGTGTCCTCAGTATGTGCCCACACAATCACATGCACGCATGCGTGCGCGCACACACACACACACACACACACACACACACACACACACACACACAAGAAAAATGCTTCTAGAAAGTGGAACAATAGCATACTCAGAGTGGGCATGGAAATTTTGTGTGCCTTCAGCCATACCTTCTATTACTCATCTGCATCCTTTGCACTATTCTTTATAATAAACATTCAAACAATTGAACAAATAAGCTATTTCTCACTGTTGGAGTAAGTTACAAATATAGAAAGAGATAGTTGGATTTGGTGCTGCACACCTCTAATCCTAGCACTCAGGAGTCTGGGGCAAGAGGAGGTTTAAGAATTCGAGGTCACCACATGAGAACAGGAAGAAGCAAAGTGCTAGAGAGGCCCACAGAAATCCACAAAGATACCCACACAACAGACTGCCGGCAATGGTCGAGAGACAGCCCGAACTGACCTACTCTGGTGATGGGATGGCCAAACACCCTAATTGTTGTGCTAGAAACCTCATCCAACTACTGAGGGATCTGGATGCAGAGATCCATGACTAGGCCCTGGGTGGATCTCTGGGAGTCCAATTAACGAGAATGAGGAGGGTTTATATGAGTGAGAATTGTTGAGACCAAGGTTGGATAAAGCACAGGGACAAATAGCCAAATGAATGGAAACACATGAACTATGAACCAATGGCTGAGGGGTCCACACTGGATCAGGCCCTCCGAATGGGTGAGACAGTTGATTGGCTTGATCTGTTTGGGAGGCATCCAGGCAGTGGGACCAGATCTTGTGCTCATTGCATGAGTTGGCTGTTTGAAACCTGGGGCCTATGCAGGATTGTTTGGCTCGGCCTGGGAAGAGGGGACTAGACCTACCTGGACTGAGTCTACCAGGTTGACCTCAGTCTGTGGGGAAGGCTTTGCCCTGGAGGAGATGGGAATGGGGGGGGGGCATTGGGGGGAAGGTGAGGGGGACGGGAGGGGGGAGAACAAGGGAATCCGTGACCGATATGTAGAACTGAATTGTATTGCAAAATAAATTAAAATAAATTCAAAAAAAAAAAAAAAAAGAATTCGAGGTCATATTCCTCTTACTGGGTTGCCTTGCCAGCCTCAATACAATGGGAGGTGCTTAGTCCTACTGCAGTTTGATATGCCATGCTTTGTTGATAGCCATGGGAGGTCTGCCCCTTTCTGAACAGAAACAGAAGGAGTGGATTTGGGGCCTGGGGAAGAGGGGAAACTGCAGTCAGGATGTTAAATAAATAAATAAATAAAGTTAATTTTTAAAAAAGAAAGAACTTTGGAGCAATAATAATTTTAAAAAAGAATTTGAGCTCAATATTAATATGAACTCATGGTTTAGATGCCATATTTAGAAAAATCTACAATGATTTTTAGACTCACCAGTAATAAGTATCAAATGGGTATCATGTTTCTCCTGATATAATTCACTGAGGACACAGCATCATTTTAGTAAATCATGAAGAGATATAAAACAAACCCAAACTTAAGGAAATTCCCGCAAGTAACTTGACTGTAACCTTTAAGTATATCAGTCATAAGCCAGAGAGTACATGCCTGTAATCCCAGAACTCTGAAGGCTAAGGCAAGAGGATTGTAAAGTCAAGCCAGCCCAGGCCATGTAACAAGATTCTGTGGGCCACAAAAGCTAAATTCATCAAACTCAAGTAAAGAGTGAGGAACTAGTCTGGAATAAAATGACTTCAGAGAATATCCTAGCTTGCTTCTGTTACTGCAGTAAATAACATGACCAAAAGAAACTTGAGAAAGAAAGGATTTATTTCATCCTACAGTTTACAGTCCATCAGGTAGAGAGAAGTCAAGGCAGGATCTCAAGCAGGAACCTGGAAGTAGGAACTTAAGCTGACCGTGGAAGACTTCTTTGGCTTCCTCCTCATGGATTGCTCAGCTTGCTTTTTTTTTTTTCCTAAGAGATTATAATTTAAGGCAGGCACTGGTGGCGCACACCTTTAATCCCAGCACTCAGGAGGCAGAGGCAGGCAGATCTCTGAGTTCGGGGCCAGCCTGGTCTAGAGAATGAGTTCTAAGACAGCCAGGGCTACATGGAGAAACCCTGTCTCAAAAAATAAAAGATAATTAAAAAAGAGAGAGAGATTATAATTTAATTATCCTTTCTTCCCTCCAAACCCTTCATATACTCCTCCCACTCTCCTTGAAATTTATGGCCTCCTTTAAAAAAAATAGTAATTGTTATTGCATGCATATATGTGTAAATAAATATGTTCCTAAATATAACCTATTCAGTCCATATAATGCTAACTGTGTATATGTTTTCAAGATCATTTGACACTGGATAACCAATTGGTATGCTCTTCCTTGGGAAGGCCACTTCTCTCATTCCCAACTTCCCTCAGTTGCCTATAGTTCTTTGTATAAGGTTGAGGCCTCATGGGCTTTTCTTCATCCAGTTTGGCATGCCCATTGGTGCCATCCTGTTTGGCTCATATTTGGACAGTCATTTGGTGAGACTTTATGGTGTAGCTTCTGGTATTACTACGAGAGACAGTCTCACAGCAAACTCCCTGACTTTCTGGCTCTTACAATCTTTCCATCTCTTCTTCTGCAGTATCCCCTGAGCCTTAGTTGTGGGAATTGTTTTGTAGATGTACCCATTGGGACTGGGCTCCACAGCTCTGCCTTTTGATTGGTTGTGGTTATTGGTGGAGAATCAACAACCACTACTTTACTAAAACAGAATAATCCCTAACAACAGTCTGTAAACATTTGTTCTTATACTCACAGGTAAGTGTAGTCTTCACCCCTCATCAAGGAACCTTCTCTTTGTAACAGATGGAGACCATTACAGAAAACCTCAGTTTGCTTTTTAATATAACTCAGGACCATTTGCCCAAGGGTTGCACCACCCACAGTAGGCTGGGCTCTCCCATCAATCTTTAATCAAGAAAATGCCCTCCAGATTTGCCTACAGGCCAATCTGACAGAGGCATTTTCTCACTTGAGGTTCTCTCTTCCCAGATGACTCCAGCTTGTGTCAAGTTGACAAAAAACAAACCAGCACAATTGAGAGGTGTGGTAACTGAATGTAACTTTCATGTCCTGTGTAATGTTTTGTTTGTTTTGTTTGAGACAGGGTCTTACTATGCAGTGCTAGCTGGCCTGTAACTTACTATGTAGACCAGGCTGGCCTGTACCTCCTGAGTGCTGGGACTAAAGGCATCAACAACCATGCCTAGCTTACTTGTTTTTTGAGTTTTGCGTATTACAAATATTAAGACAACTGTAAGTTTTAAATAAGGCCATTTAGTATCATACCACTGTTACTATACTTCCCTGTGTTTATACTTTGGATATATAATAAAATATCCTCTTTTAGGATAAACATACACCTAAATGTTTAGTTGTAAATAAATAGGGAGGGAGGAAAGGAGGGAGAGACAGAGAGAGATAATGTGGTAAAATGTTAAATATATGCAGAATCTGGGTGACAGCTATACTAAGTAGGTATTCTACTCTGTAGCATATGTTTTCACTCTTTCTTTTTTGGCTTTTGGTCTTTTAGAGAATGTCTCACTATATAGCTCAAGTTGTCTTCAAACATGTGATACTTCTGTCTCAGCTTTCCATATGTAGGGATTATGATGTGTGCCACCACACCCAGCCTGTTTTCATTCTTCTAATGGCAGCGTTTGTTGAATCTGGTTTCTTAATTTAATAGTAATGGTTAGTGGGGCTCGAGTAGGAGTTCAGTGGTAGAATATCTGCCTAGCAGCTCAAGGCCTTGGGTTTAATCCCCAGCACCATGAAGAAACAAACGGAACAAATGAGTTGTCTGGTCTCTTGAGAGTGACACAACTATCCATTATCCGAAAAAGAAGGAGAAAGCAATCTTGTCTAAAAAAACTCACTAGCTTGAAAACTTAGAGTCTCGATTTCTTGACACTTGATAAGCCATACAGAAATTTCTTCCTGTCTTTAATCTTTTAATTTCTTGATTTATAAAATGGCTCAGCAGGTAAAAACTCTTGTCATGCAAGCTTGACTACTGAATTCAGTCCTGGGTCTTATGATAGAAGGACACCCCTACTCACCTGCATCTCTCATACACAAACACACCCAATTACAATAAATTAAAAGCATTTTAAAGTGTTGAAAACAAGGAAATGTATCATTTTATAAGTATCATATGAAAACAATATAGTTGTTTTCATTAATAGTTGTATTCATTAAACTTAATAGTACAATTTGATACTAAATCTACGTAGGGCTAGAGAGATAGTTCAGTGGTCAAGAACACTTGATGCTCTTACAGAGAACTGGGGGCAGTTCCCAGCACCCGCAAGGCAGCTCACAGCTATCTGTGACTCCAGTTCCAGGCCATCTGATGCCCTTTTCTAGCTGTGCAGACACCAGGCATGCACATAATACACGTTCATTCAGGTCAACCATGCATAGTCATAAAAATAGATGAATATTTTAAAAATTATATATTAAGATGTCAAATAACATGTAAATTCCTGCCCATGATAAATGGTGAAAAGCTTCTAAAAGATATTTGACTTAGGTCTAGAGATAAGTAATGCTATAAAACTAAAAGGAAAGGGTTAATAAAGACCAAAGGTATTGACTAGACAGATTTAATTTCCTGAGGAGGGAAAGTACTGATAACAATTCTCCTTTACTATTAAGTCCAAGGTGATCCAGAAATCTCTAAATGGGAGCCCAAATTTGATGGTCTTTCAAAATAAGATAATACCCTAATTACATAACTGCCACATTGAATACATACACCAGTATATCTTAAAGCAAAGGAACAAAAAGAAAAGCATGTATAAGAGTAGATAAAAAAGAATGCCTAAGAAGCCAGTGAAGCCTTTTTAGCAGCAAATTGACAAATCAGTGATTGATATCTCAGAGAGACCATCTGCTGTCTCAAGGAGCCCTGTTACTTAGTTTTCCTGACAGAGTAGATGTCCACTAAAGATTGGTTCCCAGATGTGGTACATCAGGACTTGTCTTTTCTCACATGACCCTCAGGTTTTGTAAAAACACACTGTGTAAACAATGTGAAAAAACAAGACTAAGCAGTTTGAGTTAAATTTTTTCTTTTACACTTTTTTGTACATTTTATTACTAATTAAGTAAGTTAGCTGATATGATAAGCACATTTGGAAAAAGATAACTAGTAATTTTGGTCTGCTATATGCCATATTGTATATAAATATACACATGCAATATGTCGGTCTGTTCATGCATATTATATAAGTTGAATTAACCAGTATCATACTAAAATATCATCTTTCTTTATAAATGAAATGAGCAAGAGTTTGAAAGGATAAATGATTGGTCTGCTTTATCCCATCTAGTTAGTGGCAAAGCTAGAAAAAAAACAATTTTTTATTTTTTTATTTCATAGCCTATATTATTATATGATACTCTTGTGTCCAGTTACTTTGGAATCTTATGAGAAAGATCAGTGTTATGTGTTGGTTGACTGGCTTTGAGATAGGGTCTAGCAATAAGTCCAGGCTGCCCTCAAACTAATGATCCTCCTGCCTTAGCCTCCTGAGTAATGGAAATACTCAGTAATGAAAGTATGTGCCACTGACCTGACTCTTCCATCTTTTTATTTATTTATTTATTTATTTATTTATTTATTTATTTATTTATTTATTTATTTATTTATTTTTGGTTTTTCGAGACAGGGTTTCTCTGTGTAGCTTTGCGCCTTTCCTGGATCTCGCTCTGTAGACCAGGCTGGCCTCGAACTCACAGAGATCCGCCTGCCTCTGCCTCCCGAGTGCTGGGATTAAAGGCGTGCGCCACCACCGCCCGGCCTTCCATCTTTTTAAAAGCTGACTTTAAATCGGACATAGTAGCACGCAGCTATAGTCCTAGCACATGTGAGACTAAGGCAGGAGGATCCAGAATTCCAGGCCAGTCTAGTCTACATGGTAAGACTTTGTGTGGAATAAAAGAAAAAGAAAAAAAGAAATGGGAGTTAAGGATATAGTAGTTCAGTGGCAGAACACTTCCCTAGTATGTATGAGGCTCTGGTTCAATCCTTGTCACCACAAGATAGATAGATGGATGGTTGGATGGATAGATGGTTGGATGGATGGATGGATGGATGGATGGATGGACGGACGGACAGACAGACGGACGGATGGATGGATGACAGATGGATGGATGGATGATGGGTGGATGATGGGTGGACAGATGGACGGATGATGGATAGACAGATGATGGATGGAATGGATGGGGAGATAGGAAGGAAGAGTTGTATTGACCACTTTCTTTTTCTTTCCTACTCAGGTCATGTATGGAATGTTGGTCTTTACATTAGTGCTTCGTTCTATTTATATTGTCACATGGTAAGTAGTTTGGGTCTGCCATCAACATTCTGATAAAAATATACTCAAGCTTATAACAGTAAATCTATAGCCTAAATTGGAATAAAATAAAACCTAACTCCAGAAGAATAGTGCTAGAAAACTATAACCCAGCATTTATTTGTGCTGTCTGGAAGACTTGTTCTTCAGGTGACTTATTAATGTGCATCATATAAAAAGAAGCGTTGTAAAATTAAAGAAATTTGAAGAAAACTATTTATGAGACATCTGCTTGAATATGTATAGCATTGATTAGGATGTTAAAGACTTTGAAAAGTACTACATTCAAAAAATGTTTTTGTAGGACTGGAGAGATGGCTCAACAGTTAAAGAGTACTGGCTGTTCTTCCAGAGGTCCTCAGTTAAATTCTCAACAATCACATGGTGGCTCACAACTTTCTATAATGGGATCTGATGCCTTCTCTGGCATGCAGGTGTACATGCAGATAGAGGACTTGTATACATAAAATTCATTCTTTAATCCCAACACTCGTGAGGCAGAGCCAGGTGGATCTCTGTAAGTTTAAGGCCAGCCTGGGCTACAGAGCAAGATCCAGGACAGGCACCAAAACTACACAGAGAAACCCTGTCTTGAAAAAAAAACAAAAACAAAAACAAAAATTAAAATTAAAAAGATAAAAAATGTTTTTGTTTCTCAGACTTGCCTAACTAGGTTAAGTAACACCTCAAGGAAGGCTGTCATATCATTAAATGTTTCACAAGCTAGGAAAGCAGTTCAACAGCAGAACACTTAGCTAGAACACTTAGCTAGCAGGCATAAGGCCAGTTCCATCCTGTGCCCCTCCTCCCACCAGGTATTTCACAAAAGATCATTTAAGAATTACACATAGTCTTTAATAAAAATTTATATTGGACAGTGCTGGCACACATTTTTAATCCTAGCACTCAGAGGCAGAGGCAAGTGGATCTCTGAGTTCAAGGCCAGCTTGGTCTACAGAGTGAGTTCCAAGACAGCCAAGGCAACACAGAGAAACCCTGTCTCAAAAAAAAAAAAACCCAAACAAACAAAAAACAAAAACAGAATTTATGAAAATTAAATGAGATTACTTTAAATAGGTCCTAACCATACAGTGGATGCTCAACTCAGTAAGTGGTACAATCCATGTGGTTTGCCCATTTTTGTTTTTAAAATGAACCTTTTATTTTGAGATAATATAGAAATGCTTGTATAATATAGTGTCACAGCCAGGAGTTGACACTGACATAATTGAGATACAAGGCACATCACCAGAAGGATCCCTGTGTGGTCCCTTTATCACCTCATCTACTTCCTGCCTCCAACTCCTACTCCTTAATCCCTGGCAATTAATAGTCTTTTTTATGTTTATAGTTTTGTCATCTCAGGAAAGTTTTATAAGTAAAACCATATAGCCTTAGAGATTTCTTTTGAATCACAATATAATCCTCTGGATAGTGTAGACTTCTCTTGCTGAGTAGTATTCCATGGTATAGATGTACCACAGTTGAGTAACTTTCAGATTGAGGCTGTCATAAAGCTGTGAACATCTATGTACAGGTTTTTGCGAAAACACATGTTTTCTTTTCTCTGGAATAAAGCCCCAGACTGGAATTGCTGGGATGTATGGTAATTGTATGTTTAGTTTTTCTTAAAACTGCAGAAATGTTTTCCACAGTGGTTCTACCATTTTTATATTTTTGCCCATAATGTATGAATGATTCAGTTTCTCTGCATCATCACTAGCAATTTTTATTTCATGAAGGTATGAAGGTACATACTAATTCTTATACTTTTAATTTGCATTTCCCTAATGGTTAATGATGTTGAATGTATTTTCATAAGTTTTTTCTTTTGCCATTAGTATGTTCTCTTTAGTGAAATGTCTATCATGCTTTTGCTCATTTTCTCTTGGATTTACAAGAATTAACAAGGAAATTTTCTTGCTTTTATAAGTTTTAAGACTCTAATTTTTTTGTCAAACATGTAGTTTATAAATATTTTCCCACAATCTGACTTTGTCTTACATATTCTTTTCAGAACCTTTTTTAAATATATAATTTTTTTATTTTATGTTCATTGGCATTTTGCCTGCATATACATCTGTGTGAGGGTGGCAGAAGCCCTGGAACTGGAGTTACAGATAGGTATGAGCTACCACTTGGGTGCTGGGGATTTAACCTGATCCTCTGGAAGAGTAGCCAGTGCTCTTAACCACTGAGCCATCTTTCCAGCCCCCAGAATCTTTTTTTTCCCCCTGAGACTTGGTTTCTCTGTGTAGCTTTGGAACCTGTCCTGGATCTTGCTCTGTAGACCAGGCTGGCCTCAAACTCACAGAGATCCACCTATCTCTGCCTCCCGAGTACTAGGATTAAAGGCATGTACCACCACCACCACCGGCCAGAATCTTTTTAGTAAGTGAAAGTTCTTAATTTTGATGTCAGATTTTCAGATTTCTTTTTTGTTGTTATTTGTTTGTTTTGAGATGGACTCTTACTATATAGCCTTGGCTGGTCCGGAACTCAGTATGTAGATCAGGCTAGTCTCAAACTCACAGAGATCTACCTGCCACTGTCTCCCAAGTGCTGGAATTAAAGTTGTGTGCCACCACCCAGCCTGGCCACTTTTTAGAGTTCCATTCCAGCATATCTGTGGTGTTGGTGCTGTGTCTGCTCTCAGTGTGTTTATACAACCCGCTCAGGTCTAATGTCAGTGTCTGGTGCAGTTTAGAAACCTTATTCCCTTTTTGTGCCTGTGTTAGCTTTCTGGGACTGTCGTAACAAAGTGCTTCGAGCTATGTGACCTAAAACCTTTGGGATTTATAGCCTCTCAGGTCTAGAAGCTGTGAGTACAGCTGCAGGGGTCTTCTTGCCATTCCACTGCTGCCTGTCTTCTGGTGCTTTGCTGGCAATTCTGGCCTTATTTAATTTGTAGTTTCTGCCTTTGCTGTCATGTGGTCTTCTCCTTGTGTCTTCATGTGGCCATGTTCTTGTAAGGACACCAGTCTTCTTGAAATATGGACCTGTTCCAATATAACCTCATTGGAAATATCAGCAGTGACCCTAGTTAAAAATAAAGTCACATTCTGAAGTACTAGGGTTAGTAATTCAATGTATTTTGAGGGTGGAGAAGAGAATAATTCAACATGTATCTTGTTTAGAACCACATCAGATAACTTTATGATTTTTGCCTCAATTGTACATTTTCTTTAAAAACTCAAGAAAAGGGAAATGTATTTTCTGGTTTTGTTGATTGAGACAAGACAGTCTGGTTGTATTGCCCAGGCTGTGATCCTTCTGCCTCTTCTTCCTGGGTGTCTAATAAGGATGGAAGTCTGGACTCCCAATTTGCTGAATGGCCTGGGGAAGGAACTACATTGTGTGTGTATGTTTTTTTTTTGTGTGTGTGTGTGTGTGTGTGTGTGTGTGTGTGTGTGTGTGTGTGTGTGTGTGTGTGTGATATCTGACTATAGTAAGTGATTATTATTTTAAGTGTTCTGACTTTCGAGGCTGGCCCTTTTCATGATTCATTGGCTGGAGAAAGTAGGTTTTGTTGGGACATTTTCTGTCTGTGCCTAGACTTCATCTCCTGGCTAATTCCCTTCCAAGTCCAGAGTGTACTGGCCCAAAAGAATGCATCTGATGCCACACAGTAGTTGTCTACACTTCTAATCCCAGCATTTGGGAAACAGAAGCAGGTGGATCTCTGTGACTTCGAGGCCAGCCTGGTCTACAGAGCCCTGGACATCCAGGGCTACACAAAGAAACCCTGTCTCAAAAGACCAAACAAACAAAGAAAGAATGAACCTAAAGAGTATTCTGCTAAGTAAAATAAGCCAGGTTTAAGTAGAAATACTACTTGAGCTGGTGAGATGGCTTAGCAGGTAACGGTGAATGCCACCAGGACTGACAATCTGAGTTCCATCCCTGGGACCCACATAGTGGGAGGAGAGAACTGACTCCTGTGAGTTGCCCTTCATGTGGGCCCCATGGTACCTGTGTACACATACCACACTAATAAATAAATTAAATAAATAAATAAATAAATAAATAAATAAATAAATAAATAAATAAATGTAATTTTTAAAAATCAGTTTTAAAAAAAATACCAAATATAGTACACAGTCTTTCTTACATGTAGAAACTGAAAATGCTGACCTCTTAGAGTAAATGGTGGTTATCAGAGGCTGGGGGTGGGACAGTGAGGCAATGGGGAAGTGTTAGTAGAAGGGTACAGTGTCAGACAGGAGGAATAAGTTTTTCAGGTCTGTTGTGCAACAGTTTACTATGGTTAGTAATGTGCATTTCAAAACAGCTAAGAGAGTAAATTTCAAATATGTTACCATATATAAATATATATATATATATATATATATACTCACAAATAACAAATGAGAGAGATGTTAATTAGCTTGATTTAATCATCCTACATTGTATACATAGAACATGAACATTTATCTATCCCATAAGTATATATAATCATAATTTGTTGTAATGTGTCAATTAAAATATTAATTTTTTAAAATACTAATTTTTAAAAGAAAACACAGGAAACTTACTACTATCATTTTTCAGGTCTCAGAGTCCCTGCCTAGTCTACTTTCTTCTCTCTACCTTCCAAAGTCTTCTAATGTCTGTTTAATATTACATTTAATATGCAAGATTTTGTGGAATTTAGTGGAAAGAATAGGAAAAACTCGGTTTACTCCATCTTTCCAGAAGCACAAGTTCCCACTTTATTCTGTTTGTAAACTGAGCACCTTAGGGAAATGTAAAGAATTATAAAACACATTCCTCAGTTTAACTTCAGTCTGATAGGATAGAGGTATGCTGAGAAACACGAATGCCTTTGAAAAAAGGGCTTACCCATGGGCTGGTGAGATGGCTCATAAGCAGGTAAAGGCACTTCCTGCCAAGCCTGATGATCTAAGTTCAGTCCCCAGAATCCACATGTTACATTTTAACTTTCAACAATTAAAAGGAATGAACCAACCTCCAAAAGTAAC